AAGCGGGAAGGTAGTTGACTTAAGAGTCAATCGGTCAGCCGTGGCAACCGCTAGTTGTGTAATGCACAACGGGAGGTGAGCGAGCCGACAGCTCCGGTACCTATCTGAATAATAGGGATGGTGCTGATGTGCACCCGCGAACGCAAATTCAAAGCACTAGCCTTTTGAGAACCAAGTGAAGTCTGTGTCAACAGGCTGAACTGGGGTTAAGACCTGACTGATACGGTCCCATGCAGGCTTAACAGTGCCCTTCCCGCATAACCAACGGTTGATAGGGAGAGGCACTATAAACAAAACTTCAGCCGAAGATGTGGGACTGTTGCGTTACGTAGTAAAAAGGTCTATAAACATTGACTGAGCATGTTAAAAAAGATCATATTAAATCTTAGAGCAGAACTGTGCCCAGCAGTGGGATATGTATGAGTTAACGATATTGAAATAAAAATACCGGTTTGTTATTAATACAGAGATAGAGAGAGAGAACACTTAGAAAAAATTGCTTCGATCCGGCCGGATTCGAACCGACATCTTCTAGCAAACCGTGCCAGACACTATGCCAACTAAACCACAGAACGAACCAGCGGACCTCACGAATTTTTATATATAACGCCATCTATGAGAAATGTATGAAAGTATTTCGTCACCCAGTTAGATACCTTTACAGCTACTAGCCCTGGCTAGAGATGTCGCTATTAAATCAAATTAAGTGTTTGATCTTTGTATTAATAATTATAATAAACTAGTCGAGTAATTACACAAAAATAAATTGAATATCAATTCACTAAAAAATTTAAAAATACTGGTATTTATTTTTACTGAATGTCATAATGTCCTCACTATCGTGACATTCGTCTACTTTTTGTGGAGCCACGTTGAGGCGACAGACACTAGTTCGAGTTCAGACGGAATGACGCAATTTTTATTTGTGTTTGTTCCATCTTTGTACCAAAAATAAAAATATCGATTTCAAACTTTGCTGACTATTTACAAACTATTTACAAACTACCTATGTTCAAATCGTTGTACATATTCAAAAGCATATATCTCTCCAATTTCTTCATTATGAAATAGTCGAGCGCAACATGTTTAATTTACAAATTTACTTAGCAAATTACCCATTATTTGTTTTCTACGCATGAACTAGGGAAAAGGTAAACATTTTACTACGTAACCAATGTTGACGGAATTTCTTGACTTAGATAACTTTGGTACATAAAGAGCAAGGGTAATAAATAATACAAATAATATATTGATTGACGCCTATCTGATACATATTCTATAGCTATTGTTGGGAATCCTCTTGTTCGACGACACGCACTACAATAATCGTTTTAATACATACTTAAGTTTTTAACCGACTTAAAAAAGGAGGAGGTTCTCAAGTCTACTGTATATTTAGTTTTGTTTTAAATACCAAGTGTATCTAAAAAAAACTAAAAGATGACTGTTTACAACAGTTGCAGTGTCACTCATAAGTTTGAATTACAAGTATCTGAGATGCACTGCCACTGCGTCCGTCACTCATAGAGACATAAGTTGACATGTCCCATGTACCTGTAATTTCACCAGCACCCTTACCCTTTAAAACTGAGACGCAATAATTGTCGCATTACGGCTTAGCGGCAGAAATAAATAAGGTGTCAGTACTTCCCTGGACGAACTCTTTGACAAGGAGCTCTCCACTACAACTACCACCACTACACTAAAAACTACTATATTTTTTTATTTTGATTACTCTGACATTTGTGAAATGATTTCGATGATTCTTTTTTTGTCGGAAAGGGACTATCTCTGTAGTGGTCCCATTTAAATTGGAAAAAAATATTTCATCTCTAAGTGTGGCAAATTAAGGGATGAATCGAGTTCATTGGATTTCACTCACTTTCCGTTAACCTATTTCAACAAAACTTGGCAAATACATGTAATTTCACAAACTTTTGAGGTCGGTTTCTTATAAAAAAGTTATAGTTATAATTTATTTACGAGAATAATTTCAGTCAATCATAGTTTGATTTTATCAATATTTCATCAGTTTGATTCTGTGTTAAAACCCATTACTAATCTGAATTGATCGCACTTTCAAAACAGGAATCATGCTGAAACTTCCTGTGTCAACTGAAATAGTTTCAAATTCAAATGCGACGAGTTAATGACCCCTAATCACGTGCCTGATCACAGAGTCACAAAGACAATCGTAAGTGAACTAACATGATTAATTAGCCAAAATGGTTTAACTTTATCAAAACTCATGGGAATTATTATTATCACCTATTGAAATTAAAACATTTAAAAATATTATAGCAACAAACAACTCAACAAACAAAATTAAAAGGACATAATTTACCTCGTTATTTCTATTGAGTCTGTGCAGTGGACCCTTTACCTTACTTTTCTTATATTAAAAACTATATAGGAACTCACTAACTAAAAATCCGATTATAATCGTACTTATTGCACGATCAGACCGTGAATCGTGTGATCATCGGATCATACAAACAAGTATGATCATCATTTTAGTAGCAGTAGAGCTTCTTGTGAAAGAGTTCGTCCAGGGAAGTACTGCCACCTTACCTATTTATTCCGTCAAGCAGTAATGTCAATATTACTGTATTCCGGTTTTGAAGGGTAAGGGTAAAATTACGGGCTCATGGGACTTGTCAACTTATGTCTCAGGGTAACGGGCGCAGTGGCAGTGTTCCTAAGGTCTTTGCGATTTAAAGCTCTGAGTTGCACTGCAACTGTTATGGGCTAACGCGTAGCTTAACATCAGGCGCACGACTTGTTCGTCCCGTCGGTAGAACTCCTTGTGAAACAGATCGTCCAGGGAAGCAATTACCTTACCTATTTCTGCCATCAAGTAGTAATGTGAGCATTACATAGTTTCGGTTCTAAAGGATGACAGGCGCAGTGGCCCTCAGACCTTGCTTTGGACAGGCGCTCCGTCCCTTATTATCGTAAAAAAGTAGCTTTTAGCCTTTGGATCTCCCAATCGGGCCATCAATTTCTAAAATATAATTTTAAAGAAAGAGGGCATTGGCTCACAAAGTTAAGACTACAATAAGGAAGGGCGCCAATAAATCTTTTAAATTGGAGCTGTGGTCACGAACAGACGCAAACGGTTTCCCGACATAAAGTTACTATCACTGACCACATTACTATCCGGGGTGTAAGAAAAATATCCCATACTTCAGCTTGTGATCGGAATAGTGATAAAAAATACTTCAGCTTGTGATCGGAATAGTGATAAACAACAGTTTTAACCAAAAAAAACCTTATACGTGCCAAAAAATAAATTTGGTTCCACGCACAATATGTACACAGTAGTTTTAGCAATAGCGCTCGTTGTGAAAGAGTTCGTCCAGGGAAGTACTGCCACCTTACCTATTTCTGCCGCCAAGCAGTAATGTTAGCATTACTGCGTTCCGGTTTTAAGGGTAATGGTGCTGGTGAAACTACAGGTACATGGGACTTGGCAACTTATGTCTCAGGGTGACGGACGCAGTGCCCCACGGATTTTTGCGATTTAAAACTCTGAGTGGCACTGCAACAATGGACAGACTTACCGTCAGACACGCATGACTCATTCGTCCCGTCACTTGATATTATAAAAAAAGACAGTTAATTGAAATTTTTCGAGTGAAAAATTTTTTCTTGTCAAAATAATATTTTGCTATAAGTACCTAGCAGTTTTTTTATCAAGAATACCAGCTGAAATTGTAATATACTACTTACATATATTGAAAACACCCAATAACCTCTATTTATCAAAGTAATGTGCGTAAATGTTGTGTAGTATTTGTGAAAGATCTGTCAAAGTTATTTTTCAACATTCCAAAGCATCACCAAAATTTTGTGAATGTCATTGTTCATACAAAAGCCTTTGTGCATTGATCTTCAATTATTACTGTTAGTTACCAAGGTATTGATGTGGTGTGGTTAATAGTTGAAATGCACTTGTTGGCATATAAAAATGCAATAAAATGGACCCCAATAAATTACTTTTACACGCAAAATTATTTTCTGTCATGTCATTTTACCATTATATTTACGTTTTTTTTTTAAATAGATCAAAAAGATAACAAAGAAATGTGTATAAATAATTTATATTTAAACATTTTCCATCAATAATAGGCACTATGCGAAAGATTGCAGTGGAAAGGTGAAGACAATACACGGAAATTGAATTCTTGTTAGCATGTATATTGTTGACAAAGATAGCAGATAAATTAGGCACTTTGTAACGCATGCAACTGCACGTGAATATTTCAGACATATTTATAAGTAACTTAGAGGAGAACCGTGCTCAGTACTGGCTGGTTGACACTGATGAAAATTAGTGACTGTAAATACTGATCACCTTTTACTACACAACCTTTATTTACAGAACTTTAGTTATGTTTTAAACTAGCTTCAGCTCGCGGTTATTATAATCTTTTCAGTTTTGTCCGTTTGTTCCGTTTTGACCTGAGGAAGTAATCTAAACACGTGTCCATAGACCACAACTTTCTCATTTATATTATGTGCTGAGATTAAAGAGAATACACAATAGCTATTCGCTCGTATATATAAGTTGAGAATGTTAAAGTTAAGCCCGGTTGTCGCTGTTACATAACTCATATTATTTTTTTTATTTCGTAGCGTACAGTCGAATATAAAAATGGAACTATAATTTTGAAAACAATAGCCAAAAATAATGATACGACGAAGAATGCTACGATGCAGGTCGTCAATAATATAATGTTTCTTGATTAACCAGAATAAAATAATTTTGACTGTCCTTCTCTTTGCAGTTAAAACCCTGCAAATCATTTAGGTAATATGTTTCGGACGCAAGCGGTTTAACCATGTAGTCATAAAATTCAAGTAACCGTTTAACGAAAATTGCATCATAGTAACATCGTACAGGCATACTGAAGTGGCATAGTTCGTCGTTCTAATCATCGAAAGTGGGTGACAGACCCAGGGCGACGAACCAACGCACCCATATAAACGAAACTAACGCTTCAAGCACATACTCCTCGGAAAAAAAACACGTAACACTGAACACATTTATAGGCCAGAAAGAGTTCTTGAGTTCCCCATTATGGCACAGATAGTTGTAATAGTTCGAAGAGTGTTTGCCTAATTCACGATCGCGAGTGGAAAGCAAGGACGAGGAGCGACGTGACCTCGCCGAAGCGGCGGCGCGGACTGGCACCCCGTACAGTGAACCCCACCGCCCGCTACCTCCCCTCCCTCTGTCACCGCCACTCTCTCCAAATCCAGACGAATTTTCATTAATGTTGTTATCGATGTAAAATTCAGCCAAGTCAAACTTTGAAACTAAGTCTTGCTTTAATTAACTGTCCATAAAATAACACTAAACAAACAAGCAAAGATCTGCAAACTCGAAGAAATGATTGTAGACAAGTTATTTAATATACAGTAGGAGTTGTTGATTGACTTGAAGTTCGCTAACTTAAGACAACATGTAACACTTTCGAAAGAGTGGATAATTACAGGAAACATAGATAATTTAACCTTTATTAAGCTCGTTCCACAAAACTTTCCTTTGTTGTTTTACCCATGTCCAAACTTCAGCGTATATACCAAATCACTTTGTACAGACTTAGCTCATCTGCTTCTTAAGACAGCAAACACACACAAAGATAGTTTATCTAAGTTATCTAACAGACATTCAGTTTTTATATGAACTTGCAATAATCGTCAGAACTCTGTCAGGTCGGTAGCGAGTTGCAAGTGTGTTTCCAATTAAAGAACTGGTTTTTTTTTCAGTGTGTGTCAAATTTTCTCGCTTTCACAAAGGGTTGATAAAAGATTTTCATTTACATAAAAATTTCCCTACATAACGATTGACCTACCTTCACGTAGCTTGATTGAACTGCCTCCGTGGCCGAATGGTTACCATGCCGGTCTGCCACGCAGAGGTCCCAGGTTCGATTCCCGGGCCGGGAGAAATATTTGTATGGCCTACATTTTTTTTTCTCGTGAGTTTGGGTGTAATTTGTGGTTGTCTGTGTGTGAGTCCATGGCATCCGCAACACAGGGTTTCCCTAGTGGGGCTATGTTGAGTGTGTGCTTTATTATTATTATTCGACCTCTTCCTCACGTTTTAATTAAGCAAGTTAATTTCCTCGATATATTTTCAATATAGGTAATAAAGAAACGTGTCGCCAGCGTTTTTTCAGCAACGTTAATATATCAAAGAGTTTCCAAGAAACGAGATACTTATCAGAGATTGTTCTGTTAATCATATATTATTAATAGCGATGGTTGCGGAAAATAATTTTGTTTAATTATTAAAAGCCACAACATAACTGACATTTATAATGGTTTCTATACTTTATTAATTTTTGTGTATCGGGGCATATTATAGGTATTAACTGCCTCCGTGGCCGAACGGTTACCATGCCGAACTGCCACGCAGAGGTCCCAGGTTCGATTCCCAGGTCGGGAGAAATATTTCTATGGCCTACATTTCTTTGTCTCGTAAGTTTGGGTGGAATTTGTGGTTGTCTATGTGTGTGTCCATGGCACATGCGACACAAGGTTTGCCTAATGCGGGACTATTAAAAAAACTATGAATTTACTATACTATATTTATATTCCATAATTATGATCAGTTGGTAATTTCTTTTATGATACCAACAGGACGAATAAGGCATGCCCCTGGTTGTAAGTGACACTTTTAATAGCAGTAGAACTCCTTGTGAAAGAGTTCGTCCAGGATAGTACTGCCACCTTACCTATTTCTGTCGCCAAGCAGTAATCTCAGCATTACTGCGTTCCAGTTTTGAAGGGTAAGGGTGCTGGTGAAATTACAGGCACGTGGGACTTGTCAACTTATGTCTCAGGGTGACAGTACCCCTCAGATCTTTGCGATTTAAAGCTCTGAGTGGCACTGCAACTATTATGGACAGACGTGTAGCTTATCATTAGGTGCGCGACTTGTTCGCTCCGTCACTTGATGTTATAAAAAAAAGACGCGCCTGACCATAATAGTTGCAGTGCCACTCAGTGCTTTAAATTACAAACATCTGAAAGGCACTGCCAATGCGCCTGTCACCCTGAGACATAAGTTGACAAATCCCATATGCTTGTAATTCCACGAGCACCGTTCCCTTCAAATCCGGAACACGGTAACGCTCACAATACTGCTTAGGGCAGAAATAGGTAACGTGGCAGTGCTTCCCTGGACGAACACTTTTGCAAAAAGCTCTAATATTACTAAATGATATTAATATACGTAAGAAACATAGTCGTGCAATATGATGATGGATAAGATTGAATATAAAGATGCCTACGCAATAGTTACGCAGGCTAAGTACTCACCGATTTTGATCACAAGGATTATTATAATCACTAGTGGTGGAGTTTCATATGCCGAATCCGCTTGGGTTGGTACCACCCTGCCTATATCTACCACAACACAGTTGTATTCCGGATTGAAGGATAAGACGAATTACTGTAATTACCTGGAACGTATTTGTTTTATTAAGCGTACTTCCTTAGTATCGCAATAGTTTATACGTAGATAGCAGTATAAAATACAATAGTTTTTAGTAGCAATAGAGCTCTTTGTAAAAGAATTCGTTCATGGAAGTAATGCCACCATACCTATTTCTACCGCCAAGCGATAATATAGGCATTGCCGTGTTCCGGTTTTGAAAAGTAAGGGGACAGGCACATGGGACTTGTCAACTCATGTCTCAAGGTGACGGGCGCAGTGACAGTGCCACTCAGATCTTTACGATTTAAATACAGGCGTTCCGCTTACCACCAGACGCACGACTTGTTTCTCCTATCACTTATTATAAAAATAAATAGAGGTAGCCTTAAGTATTCAGATTTTACAAAGAACATAATAGTTTTCGCGAATTCTGTGTGGGTGGAAATATTCATATGAACAACGTCTCTTACTTAAAAATAGATACATGGTCCGAATATCAGAGCTTACCAAATTGTTTTAAATTCAATTTATGACATAAAGACCGGAAACTGTGTTGATAAATAGCTAGAAGCCTTTTATAGCTTTACAATTGGGATCATAATACTATGTACATGTTACAATTAAATTTATGTTTTAAGAACAGTAGTATATTTGTCTTGCTTTTGTATGTACATTTTGAAGTTGATGTTTCGTGCCTGTTGAGAGTTAAGAATCCTCGAAAGGTAAACAAAAACAGGATATACTTTTTCCGAAGTCCTATGAACCCCTTTTCGTTACATGCATAAGTGAGTAGATGCTTTCATTCAAATGGTTCGATTCAAAACCACTCGGACTGAATAATCAATTCGATAAATCTCTCGAATATCCTATTCGATTGCATATAAAGGGATCGAATAGAAGTTATCGATTTATTCGGATCAATCGAAGTGTCCTCGACATCTCCATGGTGTTAAACCTTCATTGATGGCAATGCGTGTTCATTTTGTTTATTGCCACTACGAGAGCACAATAGAGAGGACAAGGTAAAACTAAATAAAAATAATATTTAATTTTTCTTAGTGTATAGTATATGAAAATTTCATAAAATGTTTTCTCAAACACTCTTTAATTATATTAAATTAACAAGTATTAATCATTCAATTGTCTGAAGTATTGCAATTATGTAATGTAGTATCGAAATAACGTAAATACATCATATAACCAACCTACATTCCGACAGTGCCAGTACTGTACTCAACAATCGATATAGAGGCCAACAATGCAGTACGGCACCTACAAAAATATTTTGTATCGTGTCGTAGGAAACACGGAAGGTCCCATTCGTCTTGAACCGATTGGTACGCGCACAAATTGCAGGAATTATTGATATCGCGCGGGTGGCTCATACAAAAAGTTTATAAAGGAAGTGGAGCGAACAAACTGGCGGGGAACAAACTTTTGTGCCGGGACTCGAGCGAATGCGAACGTTACTTATCTGCCGCCGCCACGCCGCTGACAGCTGCAGATGAAAAATTGAAATTGTGCGAGATAAAACTACCTAACTGCGGCTGCAATGCCCACCAAACAATGTAACCCCAAGAGTGCAATATTTAAACTTGATACTTACTGCTTTGTAATTTGGAAGCACTGTGTGGCAAAATTTTTCAAAGAATACCAAGAAACTCAGAGAATTCAAAAAAAAAAGAAAACTATTTATTACACAAGCACAGACACGCATATAAACAACACATCAGAAGAACAATCATAATAATAAGGTTCGTAAATGTGGTTCAAACCAGCTAACAAGCTGAGAAGAATAAAGTAAATAATAATAATACTAATAATAAAATTCAAAATTAATTTTTTAGGCCTTGGGAGAGGCGAGAGTCTAAAATAGATAACGATAAAAAAAAATAAAACAACTAATCTATTTATGCAGTACCTAATTCACCGTCATGCGTGTCACGGCTGGTGCAATCGGGACTTGCTCAGCGTTAGCCACAAACGGCTTCTTTTAAACCGTTTCTTGTCGCCGATTTTCACGTGATTCTTTGCTGACCTGTCGAGAAATGCAGAGTATTTATAGAGAAAAAATTTAAACAATATAATAATGTTAAATGGAGCGTTTAATCCAATAAATGTTTTTGGGATCAACATCACTACAACCTACATCGGACGATTGAAATTCCGGCTTAAAAAAGATATCCACAAAACGCAGTCAATATGTAAATATATGTGTTTCCGTTTTCTATCAATTCAGTAAAGTCGATGGAAGTTGAATAGCGAGAGCTCTCCACTGGAACATGCAATAATAACTAGCCGTCCGAAAGCGTCAAGCAGACCCTTCTCTATTTGCAGGCAAATTCAAGCAGAGAGCGCCACGTGAAAAGTCAGGCGTAAATCAAAGTTATAAATTCTCCTATCGTGAATGAACATTTCTCTTTCGCGCGGACGTCTAGGCTGAATGGATAACGTCGACCCTCCCTCGCACGATCACCTCAGCGAGTCATTTGCTTTTGTTCGCGGGGCAATTAATAACCGGCAGAAGGGCGTTTTCGAACCACAGGCGCCATCGGCGTATCAGTAATGATCAAGCGAGGCACCAGCCGAGCCGAACTCAACTATCGATCATATTCACTTAATGAAGGTGCACCTGCGAAGCTTAAAGCTGAACCTACCGCCCGTGTTACACGAACGTGTTATATACTTGTTCATTTATACATTTGAATACCAAAGTAGTCTCGATCTATGATGTTTG